TACAAATTGTGTTTCTCTTCAGAGGTGTCATCTTGAAGAAGTTGCTGTAATTTATGAGAATTTGCTGGTGCTTATATTTTGCCAGTTGAAGTGAAATGGGAAACCTTACCTCCTTTTGTAAACCTTACCCTTTGCCTTAGTCAGTGTTCTGTTGCTGCCAAGAGACACCATGACCGTGACAAACTCTTATGAAGGAAAGCATTTGATGGGACTGGCTTACAGCTTCACAGGTTTAGTCCATTGTCGTCATGCTGAAGAGCATGGTGGCAGAGACGCTGACATGGTGCTGGAGAAGGAGCTGAGAGCTCAATATCCAGATGTGCAGTAACAGGAAGAGAGATTCTGGGCTTTAGATGCCTCAAGTCCACCCCTAGTAACACACTTCCCCCAACAAGGCCACTGTCCTTATCCTTTCAAATATGCCCCTTCCTGATGAGCAAGCATTCAAATCTTCTTAGATTTGACCCCTATGAGGGTCACTGTCATTCACACCACCACACACATTTACAATAGAATGTTCTCAGCATTTCCTCTCTATAAGTGAGAACTACACAGGCCATTGGAAAAGGTTTGCTCCATACACAACATGATTTAGAAATCACAAAGGAAACAGAAGACTTATGCTTACATGTCTCTATATTGCTCTTTTTAAGCATTTTTATTTGTTTTTAAATGTGTGTGTGGGCACACGCATGCATGTGTGTGCGGGTGCCCTTGGAGGCCAGAAGAGGGCATTGGCCCCCTGGAGCTGGAGTCACAGGCAGCTGGGTGCCAGCTGATATGGGTGATAGGAACCAAGCTTGGGTCCTGTGTGACAGCAGTGTGTGCTCTGAAGCACGGAGCCATCCTCCAGCCCATCTTGCAAGCATTCTCCAACCTTTTACAGATGCTTGGGTGAGTTCACTTTGCCATCTTTTTGTAGCTAGTGGTAACAAATTCTCACAGTTCATTTTTTGGAAGGGCATCTTCATGCCACATGTGTTCTTGAGTTCACAGTTCATCTCTTTCAGCACTTGAAGACATGGTGTTTCATTCTGGCCTCAATAAGAAATCCATTGACACTGGGATTATTTTCCCTATACAGGCAATGTGTCTTCTCTTTTGTTTTGTAAGGATAGAAAAATACAGTCTAACTCTCCACTGACCCCAGGAAGCTAGAAGTTTAAAAACACTAAATACCTTAAATACCAGACCCTGCCCTCAGCCAGTAAATAGGCTAAAGGTCACACTCCTTGCCGCTTACCAGACTTTGTAAACTGGCTGTGAAACCTCTGCCCCAGTGACCTAACTTAACTGCCATTTGTCACCCCACCTATGAGCCAACACAAATGCAGACCTCCAGGGCTATGGGGAACTGATTGGTCTATAAAGCATGGGCTTGGATGTTTTAAATTGATTGGTCTGCACTGTGCGGGCTCTGGATGCTATTAGATGATTGGTTTATGATGCGCCGGCTTTGTTGTAACCCTATAAAAGTTGTCTCAATTCTGTACTCTGGGTCCTCAGTCCTCTACCCCTGTGTGGCACATGACTGTGGACCCCAGTGTATTTGGAATATAAAAGACCTCATGCTTTTACATCAAGACCGCTTTTTGTGAGTGACTTGCGGAGGCCACCTTTCCTGAGTCAGAGCGTGAGGGCCCACGCTCTGCGGGTCTTTCAGTTTCACAGTTTATAAGGTTTGATTTAGTTTTCATAGGTTTCATTATCATATGTCTTCCCATAGGTTTTGTGATTAACCTGTTTGGTTTAGTTCTTGGTGAATAGGTAGGTTTGTATTTTGAGGATAAATTTCATGATGTGTGTTAGTCAATTTTCTACTACTATAACAAATGAGTTTGTAGAGACAAAAGGTTTGTTTAGGTTTTGGTTGGCAGTTTCAGTCCATGAATAATTCCTGTTGCTTTGGATGTGTGGTGAATGCATGGCAGGGGAAGTCTGCTTACTTCATAGCTGAGTAAAGACAAGAGAGAAGGAGAAGAGGAGAGGAGAGGACAAGAGAGGAGAGGAGGGGAGGAGAGGAAAAGGGGAGGGGAGGGGAGAGGAGAGGAGAAGGAGGAGAGGTAGTTATCAGAGTCAGTCTATAGGCAGAACGCTTGCTTTGGCTCCCAGCTCAGAGGTTTCACACCATGGTCCTTTGGCCCCGTTTCCTGTGGTGGGACACAGAGGGAAGGAAACTGCTAGTTTTATGCAGTCTGGAAACAAGGAAAGAGGAAGGATCCCGAGCCTCTGTATTCCCAACACACCTGATGGCAGGCATCCTTCTGGTCTCTACCTCCTGAAGGTTCTGCCTTCTCTCAGAATGTCCTGGGCTAGGAACCAATCCTCTGATACGGATTGTCGGTAGCCATTCAAAATGTAAGTTGTAGAGCAGAAAGTGATGTGTTTGCAGGTTATCAGAGATCACAGGGATGTTCAAGAATTGCATCTGCTTCATGCAGTGGTCTGTGGTGTGCATTCCTTCTGTCAGTAAAATTGAATCTTCTGAGTTGAAATGGCTTTTCTGAACCTGCTTTGCTGCCCATTTGACTCTTTGAATTTTCTAAAATGTGACTAAAGAAAAAACTTCATAATAATGAAAAGCATATTTTATATGTATAGCAGACGTTAATACAGCTCATTGCTCAGAGTTGAATAGTGGAAACGTAAATAACCTCAAACAGACTAAGGAAAACTTGGGGATAGTTGCTTGATATACTTTTTATTAAAGGAAATCCCTTCCTGTTACATGAATACTGGGGGTCTAGGAGCCATGGGGCCCTGCAGGTGCACTTGATTCCTGAGGTGGGCACAATAGAGTCGTGGGTGAGCTTCGGTGACAAATCGGTTACTAGTTTCACAATCAGCCTCACTGACCAAGTACTGATTCCCAGGGATGCTGGCAGAGGAGAGGGTTTCTTCTTGAGTTCCCTGGAAGGAACTCAATTTGTCTTGAGCAGTCAGGTGGGGTCTACCTTGTGTTGTTCTTCTGTTACAATTATAGGAATAAAGCTGGAAGGGGGAGTCCCACATGGGGGACTGCCAGGCAAGGGTGACTGAGGTGGAGGGACATTTTTGCCAGGCAGACAGAGCTTGAGTGAGAGGTTTATTTAGAAGGGGAGGGGGAGGAGGAAGGTAAAGAGACATAGAGGCACCAGAAAGAGAAGAGAGACAAGAGCCGGCAAAAAGAGCGTAAGTAGGCAGGGGTCTGTCTTTTAAAAGAGCCCTTCGCACCTGCCTGCAGACTAGTACTCATGGAACCCTGGGCTGACTAGAGTATTGCCTGAGTGCACTCTGCCAGGGGACAGGGGCGGGCCAGCCAGGGTAATGCCTGAATCCTTACACCTTGCACCTCACTCTAAGTGTCCTACAGTGTGATTCAGGGAAGACACTGTGGGGTGAGGCATTGGGATTCCTTTCAAGCCAGGCCAGTAGTGGGTGACAGTCCAGTGTGACATAGAAGGGACATGAACCCTGCCCAGAACTCTAGAGAAGTCTGGGCTAGGCAGAAGGAGCTGGCAGAAGCCCAAGGCACCGCCTTCCTAGTGTGACTTTTAGCCTATCAGAAAAAGATTCCTGGTGACACTTTTGTTGCTAGATGCAACACCAGTGTGAAGCAGCCTGGAAGAGCTGGAAATCCCCTGTGTGACACAGACTTCCCTCCACAGCACTGGGACAAAGACGAGGAGCCCCCCCCCCAGGAAAGGAGCAGGAGAGGCAGAGCCCCCAGATTATTGTGTGGAGGTGTGAGGTAGGTGTGAGGACACCATTCATCTCCAAGGTCCCCCTATGGCCACATTTGTCTGCTCTCTGCACAGGCTGAGGTGATCTGTGTCCATCCTGAGCTGTTGGGAGCCCAGGAGCCCAGGGCCATCTGTCTGGTCCTCTGTATCAGCATGGACCCAGCAAGATTGCAGTTAATCTGTGCTGCCAGTGTCCTCCTGAGTGGTCTTGCTCCCTGTTCCTACCCCTTTCCCGGGTCCATTTTGCTTTTATGTCCTGTCCCCTGTTTAATTAGGATCTAAAACAATAAAAGAGTGTCAGTGAATGAGGGAAAGAGACTTACTGCTTACTCACTGGTGTTTGCCAGGCATTGCTCTAGCTGACTGATCAGGAGTGTGTGCTTAGATGAGGAGTGCACATTGATGGCTGCCATTCAGGCTGGCACAGGGTGACAAGCCTGTGGACATCCTTCCTGAAGCTGCTACTTTGTACCTTTGGCCTTGAAACTCCAGGTGACCAGTCTGATAGTCCTAAAATGTTATGGAGCTTTCCTTTGCTGACACCAGTGGACCTACTTCATGGTTGTGAGGGATTTAAACAGCAGAAGAACCCATAAGAGAAAAGATGGACTAATTAACTTCTCAAGTGTTTTCATTGGGATACCATGAATGCAGTAGATTCCTGAGTCTGCAGGGCTAGGCCACACGCTGACCTGCTGTCTCCAACACTCACACACAATTGTTTTCACTATTAACCACTCCACATCGCTCTATACCCCGTGCATACGAAGCTCTGGGTGTACGGTGCACAGGGCATGGTTCACAAAGAGAAGTTCACGGTTAGGAAGAGGCTCAGTGACTTGTTGATTCCCTAAGAACTCTGCTTTCTCATTTGAGGTGCCTCAGAGTGTCAGACATAACAACAGATAACCTCTGTCACCTAAAACATGGCTTCTATCTAATTTCCCTACTACCCACCCCCAAGCGTAAGGACAGTTTTTAAATATCTATCCCAAAGTTGTTTATACAAAGTCGTTTTCTCTTTTGGCTCTTTAAACCCCAAACACAGTCAGTCTGCACTGGACAGGTTTGCTTTGTAACTCAGAGGAGCTGTCACTGCAAGTTTCACCCAGTGGAGCTCCATGAAGATAACAGACCACATACAGCATAGAGAGCCTCTGTAAATAATGTCTGCCCAGAGACGGATGACACGCTTCAGCTCTGGTGCTGATTGGTTCTTCTTCTGGGACCTACCCTGGTACTCATAGAGGTGTCTGCAGATTTCTGCTCTCTGAAGGGGGCACAGCAGGTGTGAGTCCCGGTGACTGTCGCTACCTTTTTCTTTGAGATGGCTCTACAGGTCCCCAGCCTCCTCCTTGCAGCAGCTGTGGTGCTGATGGTGCTGAGCAGCCCAGGGGCCGAGGGCAGAGACTCCCCAAGTAAGTGCAGGGCACTGGGGGACCAGCTCTGAGGGACACTGGAATGTGTGTGTGTGTGTGTGTGTGTGTGTGTGTGTGTGTGTGTTGGTGGTAAGATCTCAATTTTAGTACTGTCTTTTATCATAGATTTCCTTTCTCTAAAGAGGGGTCGAGGCTACATTCTCATTTCTATGTTGTAATATTGAAGCTGGGATTGTGTCTAATACACAGGCTGATCCTGGCATAATAAAGTGGAAGGAGACGGAGTTTAAATCTAACACCAAGAACGGGCAAAGGGAGCACGGGGTAGTAGCGCCCCCCACCCCATTGTCTGGATCCTGACAGGATCTTGGAATTGCTAGATCCTGAGATGGGGAAACACGGGCCAGTGATGGTCGTGTAGTCCTGGTATTTGAGGAACATTCCTGACATGGAGTGGAGATTTAAGGGAGGCAAACTCTGGCGTCTAACTCCGAGAGCAGCCAGCAGACAGGAGTCTAAATTTCTTCATCAATTGGGAACTTGAGGTCTAGGACACTTAGGTTGGCAAATTGAATTTCCAAGGGAAAAAAATAGTCATGGAAGGGAAGTGTGTGACACTCACAGGGACCCCCCTCAATTCAGAGACAGGAGAGTACTTTATAGGAAGCCCCAGTCCCCTCCCCACAACCACCACCGTGCACCATGGTGACTTCCCTTTTGCAGTTTCACTTAAGATGCTGCCGGAGGGACCCGCCCAAGCAGGCAGTCCCGGAGGTCACCTGGAGGCAGCTCACCTGGGGTCACCTAGGGCTCTTTCTGAGAATAAATGCCCCCTCGGGTGTGTGTTGGGAGCTGGGCCGTTTGCACTCGGGAGAATCTTATGCGGTTGGGTTGGGTAGCAGAAACAGCCGAATAATTTATTTTTCTTCCCATCGTTTTATCAATTCGTTGAGAATCTCGTACAGTGTATTTTGGTCATATTGACCCCACTTCCAACTCCACCCAGACCCCTCTCCCCCACCCAACTTTGAATGCTGTCTTAAAATACCCTCCCCGCCCCCCCTGCACCGAGTACAATTTGTGCTTCCGGAGATACCCTTACCAGGACGAGCTCGGTCCCAGGGTCCCACTCCCTCCCTCGAAGTCTTCTCTGCGGGGAAGCCTCTCGGAGCTGCCCCGGAGCCGGCGGAGGCGGGGTTCACCGGCGCCCCGGCCCCGGCCCTCTGAGTCAGGCGGGGGCTCCCTCCCGGCTGCCCGTGCCGGGGCTCTGGGGTCTCAGGAGACCGCGTCGTCCCCTGTCGGTCAGTCCGCGGGGTCCGGGGCTGACCGCGTCGGCCGCCCGTCCGCAGGGGATTTCGTGTACCAGTTCAAGGGCCAGTGCTACTACACCAACGGGACGCAGCGCATGCGGCTTCTGAACAGATATATCTACAACCGGGAGGAGCACGTGCGCTTCGACAGCGACGTGGGCGAGTTCCGCGCGGTGACCGAGCTGGGGCGGCCGGACGCTGAGTACTGGAACAGCCAGAAGGAGATCCTGGAGCAGAAGCGGGCCGAGGTGGAGACGGTGTGCAGACACAACTACGGGGTTTTCGACAGCTTCATCGTGCAGCGGAGAGGTGAGCGCAGGGCGGGTCCTCGGGGGCGGGGCGTGGGCCCGCGGACCCCGCAGCCACGGTTCCCCGCTTCCCCGCGGGAGCAGCTGCCACAGACTCCCCGCCGTGGGCCCCGCACCGCTCAGCCCTCCCCAGAGTCTCCCCCTTCCTCACCTTTGCCCTTTGACCTATGCCCCTTGCGGCCCAGGCTGCCCTCTGACCCGGCTCTGCTGCAGCCAGGAAACTCCTCAGTGCGGGCTGAGGGAGCTAAGCGGGGGACGGGCCCGGGGCGAGGCCGCTGTCCTCCGAGCTTTAGCTTCCGGGCCTCTGAGGCCCAGGTTCGCTGCCCGGCACCGACCCCAAGACGTTCTCCGTGCTCTGCAGTAGACTGTGTAGACTTGGATCGTACTAGAAGTTTGTGAATCAAAATCTGAGGGGAAAGTACGTAAGAAACAAAAGATGGCGTCGTCATTGGAGCCCTGGGGCTGGAGTTACAGGCGGTGCCGGGAGCTGAACCCAGATCCTCTGAAGGAGCAACAAGCGCCCCTAGCTGCCGCTCTCTCAGCCCCCGGGCTGCCTTTCCCGAGGGGACCTGCTAGATGAGCCATGAGGGCGCCGTTACTTTATGGGGCAGGGGACAGCGCTGGGGTAGCCCTCAAGCTGAATCCCTTACACCCTGCCTTCCTGGGCTCATTTCCACTTCCGGACACTCCCTCGTACTCCCAGAGCCTCCTAGAGACGCTGCCAGTTAAAGGGTCGTGTTAGGCATCGTGTTCGAATTTAATACCGTACATTACAACTGCGTGAATGATTAACTAAAAAAGTTGCCATGGCTTCCCAGGAGACTTTGTATTCCACGGAAACAATCCACTCTTGAGTCCTATTGGCAGCTAATTCCTCACAGCAAGGGAATGCAGCCATGTCAACGGTATTTAACACACTTAGCTTTGGAAAGACAATGGGGTGGGCGGGAGGAGAAAACCAGAGAACATAGTGTGTTCTCCGTTCATAAGATACATTATGTATGTTTGCTGTTTGAAGCTGAAGTGATAGGAGCACACACTGAGAAGGCTTCTGAGGTAGTGAGCACGGTAAAGTCAGTCGGGAAAGATGTCTGTCTGACTGACAGTCTGAGGAGATGAAGGAAGTAATGATGAGCTGGGGTTATTTTCACATTTTTCCTCAAAAATAGTAAACTTGAAATCATATTTTTTTCCTTTTTTTCTTACTACATTTCGTGTCATATAAGAGCAGGGCTACTCCTCCTATTTCCCTAGTGACTGTTAAGTTTATATTTGTGGAGTTGATCTTCATTCAGTGTTAGAACCCAGGCATTTCCATCTTGCCTCTTCCCCATGGGGACTCTTCACATGGCCCCCACCTCACTCACCCTCTCCCTGACCATGTGACCCCATCCCACTCACCATCTTTTCTCCTTTGTTCCCCTAGAGCAGCCCAAAGTGGCCGTCTCCCTGTCCAGGACGGAGGCTCTCAACCACCACAACCTGCTGGTCTGCTCGGTGACAGATTTCTACCCAGCCCAGATCAAAGTGCGCTGGTTCCGGAATGGCCAGGAGGAGACTGTGGGGGTCGTGTCCACGAAGCTTATTCAGAACGGGGACTGGACCTTCCAGGTCCTGGTCATGCTGGAGATGACCCCTCAGCGGGGCGATGTTTACACCTGCCATGTGGAGCACCCCAGCCTGCAGAGCCCCTTCACTGTGGAGTGGAGTAAGGGAAACTTATTTCACTATGGGCCCCATATGACAGGATTTTAGTTTTTATCCTGTCCCTCCAATGCCACCAACCTCATCACTTGTCCTGTGCATTCTGATTCCACTACTGAGCTGAAAAGTACAAGAAACCATATCTCTGGCCTCATAGTAAGGGCGGTAGTTCTGGGTGATCACTACATACACAGAGCCCTGGAACTTGTCTCTAATACCCATATGAGCTGACAGTGATAACTACTGGATATTTTGGCCCAAAGTTACAGGTATGTCTATAAGGTGCACTTAGCCCCTGCGTGCTAGATTTCTTATCCGGCCCGTCCGTGCTCTGGAATGGGTCCTCCCAGCTCCTTTACCTCATGTGACTCAGGCTGGACTTTAGGCCCTCAGTCAGGATGTGTGGAGACAAAGCTGACACCAAGGCTCCGTTCCCCAGGCGCACAGTCTGAATCTGCCCAGAGCAAGATGCTGAGCGGCATCGGGGGCTTCGTGCTGGGGCTGATCTTCCTCGGGCTGGGACTGTTCATCCGTCGCAGAAGTCAGAAGGGTGAGGATTCTGGGGAAAGTGGGGGCGGTGGGCTGTGCTGAGGGGAGGAGCTGGGCTGGGGGAGGAGCTGGGCTGGGGGTTGGAGGGCACAGGAGACGTGGAGTGGGAGGGGGCTGTAATCGGACTTTGCTGGTTGTGTGACTGCCACAGAGTCATGGTGGAGCCCATTCTGAGACTTCCACCGCTGTCCAGCACTGTCGCAGCCTCCTTTCCAGAGCATGGGCCTTGCTTTCTGTCCTTCTGGTGGCAGCTTCATCCATTTTGGGGATGCTTGGGGTCTTAGTGAACACAGTGTGAGAGAACAACTTCAGCTGAGCCTCTGTCCTGTTGCCCTTGGGCTTTGTAAGAGATTCCTGTTTTTATAACAAGCCCTTTCTCTGTGACTTCGTTTTGTAGGACCTCGTGGGCCTCCTCCAACAGGTAATAATACTTCAACCCTTATTGGGGGTGTTTGTGCAGGGGTGTGGGTTTGTGGGAGGGTGTGAGACAGGTGTAATGGACAGAAACCTGGTTTATCATCTGTCTCTGCTGTGGGGTTGAGAGTTTAACAGTCGGTGTCTGCAGGAAGCTCCAGAGGTTGCCCCCAAGCAGGACCTCACTACCATCACTTGAGTGGAGCCTGAGCCATGCCTTGAGTTTAGACACTAAGACGCTGCCTGCTCTGAGCCCCACACTGGAGTCCACGGCCTTGAGCATTGATAGTGACCAGAAGAGGCTGACAGTCCTGCAGAGCAGACGGATCTCTCTGACTTATCAGAAAGACCAGATCCTTCATATTCCCTGGGGGGGGGTGGCTTCCCTTCCACCTCCCACTCATTTGTGTCCTGTGAAACTGTGCCCCTTTAGCTGTCTTTTACCTTTGCACAGGTGATGGGGAAGGTGGTGGCATGGCCTGGTCACCAGATTTCTTTGTCTTAACTCTATGGGATCCAAGAAGAGAGTTGGGCATCTCCAGGGTCCCTTTTGTGACCACTCCTTCTCTCTGTCTCCCACAGGGCTTCTGCAGTGATTCACGAGAGTGTTTTGACTGAGTTGACTGCCACATTATAAGACCTGCGACCTGCCTGTTCCTGCCCCAAATTCCCATCTGTGCCTGCCCGTCCCTCTCTTCTTCAGAGTCTGGCATGGTGCCAGTGTACTCGACAGTTCACTCCTGTGATCCCTTTGACTCTGCTCCTGGGCTGATTCCAGAGAGAGTCTGTGTACTGCAGCACAGTCTCCTGAGACCCCCAGGCCTTCTGTTTCCACCGTCCCGCACAGGCTGCTGAAGAGATGCGCTGAAAACATTTGCTTCTTTTTCATAATTAAACATATCCTGAATTATGTGTATCCCTAACCTCCTTAACTGACTGGGCTGGGTGGAAGCCATGTGGGACCAGGTGACCCAGCCAAACTGTGCCGGGAGTAGAGGTTTCTGCTACAAAGGTAACGCAAAGCATCCTGGGCTCCATGTTAAGGAGGGCTGAGGAGACAGGCGCCTGCTGCCTCATCGCTATGGCTTGTACTTTTGCTCTTCAATGTGCTGTTTTTACCCCAGCCTCTTCCAGGTCAGTGACAACAGTGCAAGTAAACATAGTGGAATTGCTGGGTGACAGTGCTGGGCCCTCTCATCATTTCAAATGTGTCCTGCGCAGTCACATTGATTGGCGCCCACTTTCACTTTTTAAAGATTACAGTCAACAATAAAAGTAATTTTGTGATTGCTGATGACAAAAACCCAACTTAATCCTGTTTTGTTGGTGTAAGGAATGTGGGGGTTGTTGGGCTCAGAAGTGGCTGGATGCGGGTCATTGATGAGAGTCATCTCTCCTCGGCTGTCCGCTCCATCCGCTGCTCCCTTTACTGCATGTCCTTGTCCTTGTGTCTCCGTGTCCTCTCCATGCTTGTCACTTGTTTCTCTCATGTCTGTTTCATTGCACCAAGCCTTTTCTCTCCACCTTCTCTGCCTGCACCTTTGCCATGGTCTGCTTTTGCTCTTTTCTTTGTGTTACTTTTGCATTTCTGTTTTCTATGTCTCTCCTAAAATCTTATCCCTCTTTCTGTGTGTATTTTGACTCTGTTGTATGTCTTCCAGTGTTTGACAATTTTGGGAAATCCTTACTGACAAATCCTGGGAAACATATACAATGTTGAAAAACATCACGCCCCAAGGCTGTGAACAACAGACATGTGTTCATCTCTCTTATTAGGGAAGTGACTCTCCAGGGCCTCAGCATGGGGGTCGTTACATCACCCTGGTGGAGCACCTGGATCTCCAGGTTCCCTCAGGTGGGGAATGGGGTGGTTTGGCTTTGGCAGCCCCCAGTTAGAAGTTTTGTCATCCTCAGTGTTCCTTGTTGCTTACATTACAGGACCCAGTGGGTGTTGTCCTCTTTTCCACATTGACCACAAAGACCACTTTCCCTTGGGGAAAGGGAATAATTTGTGCTGAGTTCTCAGAGGAGCTCTCAGTTCCTATAGAGAGAACATTACTTTTGATCTTGCAAAGGAAGGAATCAAGGGTAGGAATAACCAGCACTTAGGGAGACACTGAGTGTGCTTTTTCTAGTTGAATCAGAGAGGAGAGTAGGAGAACACATGCTAAGACATGTTTACAGTCCAACACTATCACACCACTGGCTGGAAGGTTCTTAGGGCTGGGTTCTGACAGTTGTAAAGAAACAACTATTCATTGGGCATTATAATATTTAATTAATAACTTAATGAGTAGCAAGTACAATATTTACAAACACATTTGCTAAGAAATAGAACTATGTGAGGACAGTGTATAGGTGACTATGAAACAAGGAATGGTCAGTTCTGAGCATTTAGCCTTAAAGAGCAGGCCGTGGTGGTCATGCCTTTAATCTCAGGAGGCAGAGGCAGGAGGAGCTCTGTGGGTTTCAGGCCCAGGTTCCTCTGCTATGTAGTGGAGGTAAAGTGATTAGAACCAGGAAATAGAGACTCAAGGGGGTGTATGTAGCTTGTCTGTATTGTCTCGTGCCGCCAAGAATGTGGTGCCATCACTGTAGTGTGTGGGATGTTAGAAGCTCCACAGCCTAAGGCTTTTGAATGAACTAATTATTCTTTACTGAATTAAGCCACTGAGATTCGCTCACTATTATGAGTTAAGAATATTGCAGGATGATTTTGTCCTTCCCAATTATCCTGGTACATTTCAGTTAAGGGGATTGTTAATAGTTGAGTCAATTAACTTCATAAGAGACAATATCTACCACCTCACGTACTTAACTTTTTGTGTGTTATGGGAACATTTGAAATTTGCTCTTGTAATTTTCAAACATACAGTATACTATTATTAATGACAGACAGAATGATGCATAATAGATTTCTAGAAATTATTCTTTCAATCTAACCAAAACTTTTTACAAACTTTGATGGACATCTCTCCTTTCCTCTCCCTCCCTCTGATTCCCACCCTCTGCCCTGGGAACCACCATGATGCGTTATGCCACTTTGAATGTTGATTTTTTAGGATTCTGTGTGAACTCACGCAGTACTGTCTTTCTGTGCCTGCTTATTTCACTCTGATATTATTTATGATTTATTAAAGCTTCCTGGGGGTTCAGAATGCAAAGCTAGCCATAGGCCATAGAGGCAATGAGAACTATAACTGTAAGTATCTAGTCTTCAATTCCTTCAGAGGCCCGAGGAGGAAATAATATTAATTGAGTAAGCAGGAAATGTGAGCAAACAACTTCCAAAAAAATGTGAGAAATGACAGAAACAGCTGGCTTTCTGGATAGTCACCCTAGGTTGCTCTGAAACATTGGGGAATCCATCTTCAGCCTGTAGGCCTAGCATATCTGTCAGACATTTCTGTGAAACAGGCTATTCTGTAGGACTGTCTAGCTTTGTCTTGGCAAGGTTTACAATTACACTCTTTTGTGTCCTGTTTGTCCAATTTGGACAGCATACCATCAGCAGTCAAGGCAAGGGCATTTTCTTGCCCAGTGGCTTATTTTTGTCACAAAGAAAGTAAACTCCATGTGGTGTTTCTTTGATGCCCATCATCTTCTCTGAAGTAGATCGGTGCTGCCAGGAGCAGGCATATCTCATTATCATAAAAAAGGACCTACATTATTAAAACATATTAAATGCCATATTCTGTAGATCTCTGAAGTGTTTGAAGATGACCTGTCTTTCTAAAATATATGTGTTTGACCTTGTAAACACCTAATGTGACTACAAGTTTGATTGTAATAGGTGACTAATTATCTACATTTCTTTATTATCTTATATAGTAGGTAATAACTTTTTAAGGACTAGAAATTTTCATTGCATTGTTAAATGAGTTAAATGTATAGGTACAATACCTTGAACAATATTAGAAATGTATGTACAATATGTCTTAACAAATTAATCTCAAATTTGTATCAATATACAGTATTTGTACACAATATACAGAAGTTCAATCCAATGTAAAACATTTAAAACTAGTAGTTGCTTTTTAAAAGTAGTTTCAAGAGATCTGCCAGACCAACCTGAGTCCCAGCCTGGTGTATCTTTGACCCCCATCGCTGGGCCTCTGCTGGAGAGTCTGGGACAAGTTTGGGTTGAATACCCCCCACACCCTTCCCTGGGAACTCTCCAGATTGCCCCCGAATCCTGCTCCCCACTGTATCCTGTCCCCAGCGAGCACTCGGGTGCTCTGATAAACACACACACACACACACACACACACACACACACACACACACACACACCACGAAGAGCCTGCCCTCCCCCAATCCTGAGCCATACCCTGCCCACTGTCCCACAGCTCTGGTTGAGCACTGGAACAGGGCAGATCCAACATCCCACCTTCCGGGAACTTCCTGGAGCTGCTCTGAGCACACTAGACCTGCCTATTCAGGTGGGACCACCCTCAATCCCGGCCTGTCTGATCTCTGATCCCCACTGCTGGTCCTCTGCTGGAGCTCTGGCCCAGGCCAGAGATCTGCCTACCCCCACGGGACCACCCTGAGTCCCTGCCTGCTGGATCTTTGACCTCCTGCACCAGGCCTCTGCTGGAGCCTGATCTTTGGCCCCCATCACTAGGCCCCTGCCTGAGGAGAGACCTCCTAGAGAGCTTGGACCACCTAGAGCTACAGACTTCGAACTTCTGACCCACCTAAGCCCAATAGGGGAATACCATAGAGAGAGAGAGAGAGAGAGACCCCCACCTGCACATACTGGAAAAAAACCATGGGAAGATGGCAATACAAGAAAACACCTAACAATAGAAAGGCAAGCATGACATCACCAGAATCTAGGGACTCTACACCAACTAGAGCTGAACACCCCAAAGCAGATGAAGCAGAAGAGAACAATTTAAAAAAAAAAAAAAAAACTTCATAAAAATGATAGAGGCCCTCAAAGATGATGAGAGAAAATCCCTTAAAGAAATGGAGGAAAAAACAAGCAAAAAATTGGACGAAATGAACAAATTTCTTAAAGAAAATACAGAAAGTCTAGAAAAAACAAACAGGTGAAGGAAATGGTCAAGACTTGAAAACTGAAATAGAGACAATAAAGGAAACACAAACTGAAGAAATGCTGGGAATAGAAAAACTGGACAAACCATCGGGAACTACAGATGCAAGCATAACCAACAGAATATAAGAGATGGGAGAGAGAATCTCAGGCGCTGAAGATAAACTGGAGGAAATAGATTCATCAACCAAAGAAAATCTTAAATCCAACAAATCCTTAACACAAAACATGCAGGAAATGTGGGACACTGTGAAAAGGCCAAACCTAAGAATAATAGGCATAGAGGAAGGCAAAGAAGCCCAGCTCAAAGATGCAGAAAACATATTCAACAAAATCATTGAAGAAAACTTCCCCAATCTGAAGAAGGACATGCCCATGAAAGTACAAGAAGCATACTGAACACCAAATAGACTGTACCAAAGAAAAAAGACCCCTCGACATATAATAATCAAAACACCTAGCATACAGAATAAAGAAAGAATATTAAGAGGAGCGAAGAAAAGGCCAGGTAACACATAAAAGCACACCTATCAAAATTACACCTGACTTCTCCATGGAAACTCTCCAGGCCAGAAGGTCCTGGATAGTCTACGGATGCCAGCCCAGGCTACTATATCCCAGCAAAACTCTCAATCACTATAGACGGAGAAAACAAGATATTTAATGACAAAGCCAGATTTTCACAATACGTATCTACAAATCCAGCCCTACAGAAAGTTCTAGAAAGAAAACCCCAACCAAGGAAGTTAACTATGCTCACAAAGACATAGGCAATAGATAATCCCAATTCACCAGAACCCAAGGGTATAGCAGGGCAAATATGTTCACAATACCACCGCCAACAACAAATCTAAAACAAACAAGTGTTAACAATCAATGGTCCTTATTTTCCCTCAACATTAATGGTCTCAACTCACTTATAAAAAGACACAGGCTAACAGAATGGACATGAAGACAGAATCCATCCTTCTGCTATGTACAAGAAACACATCTAAGCTTCAAAGACAGGATAAAGGGTTGGGAAAAGATCTTCCAATCAAATGGACCCAGGAAACAACCAGGTGTGGCTATCCTAATATCTAACAAATTAGACTTCAAACCAAAATCAATCAAAAGAGATGAAGATGATCATTTTGTATTCATCACAGGAGAAATCCATCAGAACAAAGTCTCAATTCTGAACATCTATGCCCCAAATACGAAGGCACCCACATTCATAAAAGAAACACTACTAAAACTCAAAGCT